GTGCCATTCAGCTTCAAACGGTACACCTAGCTGGCCTAGCGAGTCCCCACTACCACCTACCTTGACGACCCCACTGTCAACCTCTCTACCCAATTCGACCCCTTTCTTGTACTGACAACACTACTTCAGCGCGTTCCCGCTTCATCTCCTGTAACGACTATCATAAAAAACATCTATATTAATCTTGTGAGTCCACTCCGGCACTATGCTCACAATCATGCTAAAGAAATTATGTTCGCTATCTCCAGATACACCATGCGTTTCTCGACCGTCATCGCTCTTTCTATGGCAGCCTCTGCCAGCTCAGCGCTCGCGTACGCGTATAACACCTCGGATCACAGTGTTTGGCTCACCTCTCGTGTCTCAATAGCTACCCTACCGCATCTCGTTCGTACGATGCAGTTCCACGTCGCGATCTCGCGGACGTTGTGGATATCCTCACCCGCGACTACGAGACGCGGCAAAGGCAAGCACACATCGAAGTCCGTCGAGGCCGCGACCAAGGGTCAAGCACTCGCCAAGAAGCTTCCAAACGAGATCAAGGCGGAGATCGGAAAGCAGGGTTTGGATGGGTCGAAGCCTGCTGCTGATCGCGGGAAGGTGCTTGGAACGACCCGTAAGGATGTTCAGAAGGCCTACCACGCCAAACTGAACCAGGAAGTCAAGGGCGGACAGGTCCCTGGCGGTTCGTGGGGCTTGCAGGCCACTCTCGACGAGAACCGCCATCTGCGCCGCGCTCTCGATGCCGAGTAACAGGAGCTCGTTGGTCTTGTAGCATGAGGCGTGCAGGAGATGTAACGTCAGTCATTGGGAAGGGCGGTAGGAATTCGTGCTACGCATAGCGAATTGTACTATAACGCTCGTACCACACTATGACTTCGGTCACCTCGAACAAAGAATAAATTGGTTCACGTAACTTGGCTACATTTTGAGTAATGACAAGCAATGGACGAGGGAAAGTTTTGAGCTGACCGAGGTCATACATTTCACTTTGACCAATTCGGGTTGTACCGATTCCCGAACTTCCGATCATCCTCCTCAAGGGCTGTGTCGGATGATCGTCTCCCGTGTCTGAACCTCCAGTCTTCTGAGGGGAGATGACAGACACTGGCCCCGAAGTTCTCTAACTTTCCTAGCCTTCCGCCACTCTGAGACAAAGACAGCCAGGCTTTGAATCGTTCACATCGAGAAAATTGACTATGCCAACTGACACAGGAACCCTCCAAGACGGGCAGTTCATCAAGCAGGTTCCATCGCCATACACGCCAACTCAGATCGTGCAATGGCTGTCACGCATCCGGTTTCCGACATCGTACAGCGAGGATAACCTATCGCGCGGCGCGTTCCCTCATACACTGGAGAATCTTGGGGCGTTGGCGAGACTGCACCTCGTAGCATTCCCATTCGAGAACACCGCGATGCACTAGTGAGTTTTTATTCGTATGGGGACGCCATTATCTACAGTTGAAAGCTGAATCTGGGTACAAAGCACGGCTGACCATTCGATGGATGTAAGCCTTCAAGGTGCATATCGGCGCTTGGTTGTCGATCGGATGGGATCCTACTGCTACGGGCAGAACGGAGTGTTCATGAACATGCTGCGCGGGCTTGGATACCGGTACGGAGCCCTTCTTCGCCATCGCCGAGCAATTTCGAACGGATGCTGATGCCAGTACAGAGCATACGCTGGCGCTGCGCGAGTAAATATTAACACCCAGGAAAATAAAGGCAGCCCCATATTTACGTCGCTCTCGCATATGGTCATTTTCGTACAGCCATTCGAGGGAAGTAACCAGACATATCTGGTAGACGTCGGCTTCGGTTCGACGGGGCTCGTGTGGCCTATCCTCCTGTCCGATGCGGGGGATAACATAGTTACAGGTACGACGCCGAGCGAGAAACACCGGCTGAGGCGGGACACGCATCCATCAACCAGCCTTGGTAGGCTTCTTACTGCCGTGTCTCCGCATATGAAATACTAAACCTTAGGAATGGCTGTAACAAAGACATCACTGGTGCCTCATCGTCTCGCGCGGACTATGTCTGGAATCTCGAAGTATGCCATTCCAAAAGTGACAATACGGACGCACCCTGGCAGCTACTCTATTCGTTTACCGAGAACGAGTGCTTTCCCATCGACGCGGAGAACGCCTCCTTCGTTGTATCCCAAAAACCCGAGGGCATATTCTGGCACAATATCCTCTGCGTCAAATCCGCATTTCTTGATGACTTAGACACCTCAGATGACCAGGCGAAAGCGCAAGCGGAGGCGGAATACTCCCGACATCCAGAAGAGGTGGCTGGTACATTTATGTTCAGGTATGTGATGATGGGACGAGAGGTGAGGAGGAATATTGGGGGAAGTTCGGTGGTAATCAGAAATTTGGGCAGCGACCTCGAAAGGATACGGGCGTTGAGGGAGGTTTTTGGGCTGGATATACCAGACGAAGCGCAGGTACATATCAAGGGACGGATTACTTCTTTGGATGGATAGGAGGACATTATCTGTATGGAACGAGTTAACGTTAAGGAGCACACCATGTCATCGTAACCACATATTATATTATGAAGCCGGCGCTACAAGAGACGATGCGTTCGTCCGCCAGAAGGCCTGGATTTGACATGAGTAGGCTGCGAGGGAAATGTTCTTGACAGAATTCAAGCCGTAACTGCACGATAGACTCGTCACTAGAAATTATCATTCAGAAAATGGTGTCACAATATGCGCAACAGTAAGTCAGGTCGTCGTATTCATCGGCGAAAAATTTGTACCCGCACATGGACTTGATCGACCTACAGGATGCGCAGTAGAGCAAAAACTTTTCCAGGTATATAACCAGGTCATCTAGTCGCAGACTATAAAACCGTGCAACCAGCTTACACGTCGAAATAGGTGAGTCCGAGCCGGGCATGTGCATGGTGCATCGGGGTCCGACATAGGGTCAGAATAGGTGCGTGAAAAAGGCGTCTGACCTCCTGGAAGGACAAATCCAGCCTTGGTCACCCGAAAGAAACACAAATCCTGCATCTGTGGCTTTTGTATCCTCGTGGACTTAGTCCAAGTCGCAAGGTCATTAGTAGGAATGCATGACCAATCCGTAACCAATCCGCACGGTTACTTTGATACCCGGTACCCTCAACCTTTCAAATCACCCTCTCAACATGTCGCCATCACTAGGTTTTTATAGCTCTCTCGCTGCAGCAAGGCCATACGTTCCTTGGCCCTACTCCTCAGCGGATATTCACCAGAATTGAAGTAAAGAAATCAGACATGGTAACTTCTCAGCTCTTCCAGCCCATCAAAGTCGGCGACATGACTCTCCAGCATCGCGTCGTTATGGCTCCGCTCACCCGCTTTCGCGCTGACGCGCAGCACGTCCCACTGCCTCACGTAGCAGAATACTACGCTCAGCGCGCTAGCGTTCCCGGGACCCTGATAATATCAGAAGCGACGTTCATTGCACAACGGGCTGGAGGCTACCCCAATGCACCTGGCATCTGGTCTGATGCTCAAATAGCTGCATGGAAGAAGGTGAGGCTTTTGTAATTTTCAGCCTGTCCGAGTTATAACATAACTAACGACGAGTCGTACTTAGATCACAGACGCGGTCCACGCCAAGGGGTCCTTCATGTACCTCCAACTCTGGGCACTCGGGCGCGCCGCAAACCACTCGCAGCTCGTGTCAGAAGACCCAAACATACCCTACGTCTCTGCCTCCGCTGTACCACTCCCCGATGAGGGCGCAGCGACCCCGCGTGCACTCACCGTCGCGGAGATCAAGGAGTACGTCGAGTTGTACGCGACGGCGGCACACAACGCAGTGCATCTGGCGGGCTTCGACGGTGTAGAGGTACACGGTGCGAACGGGTACCTCGTCGACCAGTTCCTGCAGGACGTCAGCAACGTTCGAACGGACGCGTACGGAGGCGATGTGCAGAAACGCGCACGGTTTGCCTTGGAAGTTGTTGATGCGGTCGCAAAGCGCGTAGGAGCGCGTAAGACCGCGATTCGGTTCAGCCCTTGGACCACGGTACAAGGTATGTCCTTGCTTGCAGAGTTCTCCGACCACCCATGATCACTGACACGTGTCATCAGGCATGGGTATGACCGACCCAAAACCGACCTTCAGCTACGTCGTGCAGCAGCTGCGATCGCGCATCCCGGACCTCGCGTACATCCACGTCATCGAGCCGCGCGTGAACGGCACGAGCACCCTGAAGAGCATACCCGCGGAGCAGTCCAACGACTTCATCCGCGAAATCTGGAGCGGCGGTAACAGGAGACTGATCAGTGCGGGCGGGTACACAAGGGCCCTAGGGATAGCGCAGGCGGATGCGAAGGGTGATCTGATTGCGTACGGGAGACCGTTCATTGCAAATGTTCGTTCCCGTTTACTTGAAACGTGGATTTTCGCTGATATACCTTCTGAAGCCGGATTTGCCATACCGCCTTGCGAAGGATGTGCCGTTGACGATTGGTGTGCGGAAGTTGTATTATCAGTATGGAAGTACGGATCCCAAGGGTTACACCGACTATCCATTCGTCGGCGAGGAGATGGCGGCGAAGAATCTATTCCGGGCAGAAAGCAAGCTGTGAATTCCAATCTAAGAGGCGTTTTTTTCCTTGGAATAATGCAGATGTTAGAAATCAGATATGCCTTCTTATCGTCGAGGTCGTGTCGAAGCATTCTTCGTCCCCATACGCGTACTCTTTGCCTACACAATCGTCCTGAACGCTTCTTTCATATACACCAACTCCTGAGGGCGAGTTGCCTTGAACCTATGAAGGTTATGAGTACCCGGCGCCCCCTTTATCAAGTAGAAAAACTCCTCACGAGTCCCCCGCGTCGTAAAAAAGAACGAGCCTGATATGGTAAGGATTGGCAGTACTTGTGTCCACGATGGATCACGATAACAAAGTGTACGCGTCCTGGCCAAAATCTTACAGTACAACGATGGGACTCCCGACAGACAAAAAAATCGCTATACAGTTGTCCAATGGGCCTGACTGGGAATTGAACCCAGGACCTCCTCGATTATAGGTTGGGACTACCCACGGCAGCTTGTACCCTAACAAGGAATCATACTACTAGACCATCAGGCCGGTGTCAGACATTTTGTGGTGGTGAAATGGGATCCATATGCTGTCGAAGAGGCGTCGCAGACCTCTGCAGCTAGCATAATCGGGGGCGAAGGTTTATGCATGTCGGGTGGGCTGGTGAGAGAGCGTATGCGCCGGTCGTGTAGAGTTTACGCCGCGATGCGAATTCTTATGAATCAAGAGGAGAGCTCGGGCTGAGAAGATTCACCTTCGCATGGACGAAGCGCGATCCCGGATGTTTCTACGACCCTAGTTTTGCGCAGGCCCATCCATAGGGCGGCTGTCCGTGATAGTAGAGGGAATTGCACGCGGCATGGTATCAAAGCCAGATCGTCCCAAATGTCAATGCACCATGTTCAATTCATCGCACCTCATTCATTGCCAATGGCAAAACAATCCGCCTGAAAGCATCATAGAATCAGGAGACGCAGCGTCGAGCCTAGCGCCCAGAACCCGTTCCGAATTCATTGGTGTGCACTATCTCGTGCATCGCGTGGAATCCGCGTTCCTGGGCCTGGTTCCGGGAAACTATCTCCTGTCCGAAAACGACAGGCGCGTCCACCCCTAAATGGAGTCGTAATCCTGGACATCATGTACTCAGTGTGGGGAGTCGACGAAGATGGTGGATCGCCTACGTTACTGTACCCCGACGCGTTGCTGCACGTGCCCTCGCTAGCCTTCACCATCTAGTTGGCCCTTCGAGATTACGGCTGCCGCTCAATATTAAACGCTCCCTGATCAAGGGCCAGCGGGTACGCGGGAGATCCAGAATATGTAGGAAAGGCAGGTTGAGGATCAGGCCCCAGGCCCCAGAGCCAAGGGATGCGCCGGAATCCGAACAACGAACTTGTAAGTCGCCTCGTGCCCGAAGCTTCCAAGTTAAGATGACTTGCGACTTGCACCGACGGGACAGGTGCTACTCCTGAGTCCTGACCCAAACTTCAGCTTTTGGATCTAGCGAAGTGGGTGTAGGGGCGAGTGCGAATCATCATCTGTATACAGGAAGTCACGGTATGCTTCGAACTTCTAGGTTCTGACGTCGACTCGGATCAGCCGATCCGGTAGGGAGGCATGATGAAAAGCACGTTGGAGGGAAGATTAGGGTAGCTCGTTGGGGATGGAGAAGGGGCTTCGGTGCGGTGCCGGTGTCGGTGTGCGTTAGGGATGATCCGTATGTAAGTCTGGAAGGGAGGAAGGAGCTGGACCGGTGGTGCGGGAGAGATTTTCCTGGGGCGGATGACGCTGGCAGAGGTGTAGAAGGTGAAGATAGTGGGATGACAAGTGACTTCTACTTAGGCGTTATTTTTGCCACTTCCGATTCTGATGCTGATCATCTTCATCAGTGCGTTATACCCCCGCGCCTTGAACTTGGCGTCCGGTCCTACACGAGGAATCGATCATACTTTGTGGGCGTCGCGGTAGAGTTCATTAATAAACGAGCCCATATGATTGGATGCCAGGCTTTCAGAAGTGATGTGATGGTATTGGCGCGCGTGGTGGGATGGGACGCGTCGAATGGGCCAAGAAGTTTGAGAGACCGGAGTCGAGCTGACGCTGTGTGTCCGACGTTCAAGGCCGGGGTCGATGAAATTTGCTAGGCTGTGGAGCGAGTAGTATCGTGCATCATGTGTGGTATACTGACACTAAGGGCGGTTTGGGGGTGGTATTCGGGTCCGGAATGCTGCGATCAGTGGAGACGAGTAGCAGACGCATGAAATTCGGTGCGCCGCTATTAGGGATATTTGGACAGGATAGAGGGAAGGGACCTATATGTTGTATGTTGGCGGCCATTGGAAGGGAAATGCACGCGTGATGCACTGAAGAGATGACAGGCACTTGACCAGTGTCAGTGACTGATCATGATGGTGGTTTGATTTTTTGTGGTCCCGTAAGGTAGCAACCTGCAGACGTTTTGAATGCTGCTGGCATAATATGGAGCATCGAGCCCCTTGCAAGGTTGAATAGCGGTGTAAAAGAACAAAGAAATTGTGAAACAAGAGGAGAGATAATGGGACAGTCAGGAGGCCAACCTGAAGTGGCTGGCTCGGCTGACATACTTGGCTTGATTTCGCCCTGATCAGCTTTGTATCTTGAACCCACACGACGACGACAACAACGACCACAGCGACGACAGCGACGAGGACGGCGTACGAGCACTATATAGAACAGAGCACAGAGAGTTTGCCCCTGCTTATCACGCCACATGGATTCAGGCAACGAGTCTCCTCCACTGCGCACCACCATCCTCGGTTCCTTCCTTCGAGGACGACCACGAAACTCCTCGCAATCGCACATTATCACCACCGACCTTCGTGAGACCTCGCCGTCACCGCCGCAGCCGCCATCACCCAACGGCCTCGTGGTCGGCGGCCACCGTCGGAGCAGAGCCGCACCAGCGGCACCAACCGTGCAACCCTCAGCCTCCCATCAAGCAACCACCACCACCACCACAGGCCTCGGTCTCTCCAACATGCTCCGCCGCCGCCGCTCAGCAGGCACTCTCGCCAGTCCCGTCGTAGGCCCCACCGCCCCACCCCCCGCAATGCCACCAACAGTGGCCCAACCCCAACCCCAACCACCCCAACCCCTCGCCCCCTCAGCCTCTGCCTCCGCGAGCCCCAACCCCAACGCAACACCCTCAGGCGCCCACCGTGTCCGCCTGGTCCCGCACATCGACTCTCGTCGCACGCTTCGCTTCGACGCCATCAGCCGCGACCTCAAGGAAGGCGACCCCGCCCTCCGCATCGGGCGCTTCACCGATCGGTCAGGCCTGGGCCTGGCCGCTGTCAACGCCCTAGGAACGAACCGCCTCGCGTTCAAATCCAAGGTCGTCTCCCGCGCGCACGCGGAGATCTGGGTCGAGGCCGGCGGGCGCTTCTTCATCAAGGACACGAAGTCCTCGAGTGGCACGTTCCTCAACCATGTGCGGCTGTCCCCTGCGAACACGGAGAGCCGCCCGTACCAGATGAAGGATGGGGATATATTACAGCTTGGGGTGGATTATCAGGGCGGGGCGGAGGATATCTATAAGTCTGTGAAGATCAGGATCGAGCTCGGGCGGGAATGGCAAGCTGGTGCGAATGCATTCAAGTGGGTGGTCTTATCATACTATCAACCATATCTCCTTAACTAACAACAACGACCCTTCCACAGCACCAATACCCTCAAGATCCTAAAAACCCTCGCCCTCCCAGCCGCCCCAAGCAAAGGCCCCTCCTCCGCACCCCCCAACGCCGGCCACAGACCCACCAAATCCTCCCAGATCCCAGACTGCTGCATCTGCCTCTTCGCAGTGACGATCCGCCAAGCCCTGTTCATCGCGCCCTGCTCCCACACCTTCCACTACAAGTGCATCCGCCCGCTCCTCGAGACGCACCACCCCGCGTTCTCCTGCCCCCTATGCAGGACGTTTGCGGATCTGGAAGAGGACGTGGAGGTGGAGGTGGAGTATGCGGAGGAGGAGGATGAGCTGGATGGGGTCGGTGGGGAGGAGGGGCATGGGGGGGTAGGGGGGGATGATGAGTCGGTGGCGGAGGGGAGGGCGACGCCGGCGGAGGGGATGGAGGCGGGGAGGATGAGGATGTCGGTGACGCGTGTGCCGGGGACGTTTGAGGAGGATGAGGACGCGGACGCGGATGACATCGATGATGTGATGCTCGATGTGCATGGGGGTGGAGGCGGGGATAGCGAGGGCAGCGGCAGCGGCGGGGACGGGCCTGGTGTTGTCAGGGCCGATAGCCCTGCGCTAGTCCTCCTTGCTGAGGGGGATCTGGGGGAGGTCGTCGATGAGATGGAGGTCGATGGGACGGTTGGCGTGAAGCGCGTTAAGCGGTGAGCGGTTGGGGGTGTTAGGGGGTGGATGAATGGTGGTGCTGGGCTCGCCTCTCGTGGACTCTCTTTTATATGTTTCTTTCTTTATGTCTCTCCGTCTGCATGGTGTTATCATATGTCTTGCCCCTCTCGCTCGGTCCCTCTCCCGGCCCTTATCATCCCCCCTCGTCCTCAGAGCTGAGAATGTACACATTCCCTGCCTCACCCCCCCCCATGCTACTCTTACAAGTACCCGGGGCCCGCCGCCTCCCTCTATCTGCCCATCCATCTGCCCGTCCACGCATACATGTCTACATACGGACCTTTAATCACTACCCTCCCTCGGATCCAGGATGCCTTGGATACTTGTCACCTTTTTCCATTTCCTCGAATTTTCATGCGTCTATCCCGTTTTTGTTTTTTCCTCCCTCCCTATACATCTCCTTTTCGCATACGCTACTCGTACTTGGCTCCCGAGTTTCTTGTTGTAATATCACCGTTCGCTGTCGATTGGTTGTTTGGATGTTTTTTGCTGCAGTGGGTGTGAATTGGTTTGTTAATGGGTGTTGGTTAGATGCGGTTGTGGATTTGCTTTTCCGTGTGCTGATGATTTGGGAGTGTGCAGGGTTGCGGGGTGGTGAGATGAGATGTCGTAAGTCGTACCTCTGTCGGGAGGAAGTGGATCATCTGGTTTGCGGGGTATGCTTCCTATATGAGCCAATTTGGAAGTTCCAGATGGATATCACCTATCGATGTATTCTGTATCCCTACAATCGAGTTTAACACCATTTATCGCGAGCCTCGAACCCCTGGGGCCTGCCGATTTCACTCGCGTTGTACACGTGATGAACGAGGTAAGTCACGTTCACCCCTGATCCAGCGCGAAGCCCTCCAAGTACTACTACTACTAGTACAGCAGTGAGCACAGCCGGGGCTCCAGAACCACAGCAGCGATCACGATCGATCAAGGTTTTGGTGTGTCCGAGTCCGTCGAGAACGCAACGAAAAGCGAAAATACAAGGCAAGGCAAACCAAACTGAAACGTCGCGGGCTCGATTCATGAGGCCGATCACCAAGCAAATGCTTGCAGTTGTGGACAAGGACGACCGATGGAAAAAAAGAACAAAGACGGGAATTGGTGGTTATGATCCTATCATACCCTCATCACTGGCTGTTATGAGTCTCTGTTCTATTCTATAGTTAGTACCGGTGCCTATGCCTATGTGCCCGCATTTACGGTTCGCAGACGGTATGCGACGCTGCGGCTCACTACATGGTGGGGTTCGCGATAATCAACACTCTGCGGTGCGCAACAGGCGGCAACATGGTTCCAGGTTCTCCCTCTTCAACCTCGGATTGGACATCCCTGCGTTGAATCCCTTCGCGGTCCCAGATCCCATATGAACGTGGCGCGTGCGGGATCGTGAATCCCTTTCGACGGTTTCGCGCAACATTATCGCTTTTGGCGCCTAACCCAGGCTACACGGGAAGCAAGCAACCCTTCTTAGTCCAGTAGTGATAGTATTCTCAGTTTCTCAGTTTTTATTGTCTGGATATCGACGACTGTCTGGAGAGCTCTCGTGCAAGGCACCAACACCGGCCTGATGGTCTAGTAGTATGATTCCTTGTTAGGGTTCCCTCAATTGGGGCTATAATCGAGGAGGTCCTGGGTTCAATTCCCAGTCAGGCCCTATGTTGTGCATACAGATATATGCATTTTTTTTTCTATCTGTCGGGAGCGACCTTCCAACGGCCTCGTCGATGCATACTTTCTTCCCCACTTTGAAATCTGCATTAGAAGGAGCACTGCCTGGAGGATCTTTCGATGAACTGCGCGAAGTTGGGGGCATAACGAGGTGGAGGAATGGAGACCGGGCCCGGGGTTCAAACGTTCAAGTTGTCGGAGCCATAACAAACATAAATATCTTACCTTTCCTCCCTTCATCGCCTGCCAGCTTGCCGCGTACATGTTCTCAGCCATATCCTACCCTCTCGAACCCAAGGTTCGAAGCAACCAGACTGTACCTGGATAGTTATCTAGTTATTCCTGGCATCTGCCTTCGCCACACACTCGGAACAACTAGACGACCAATGGGCGTCCGGATATGTATCTCCAGTTCCTATAGCTTGCTCGAGGTACGTGTTAGACGCGTTATGATCTCTGAATTGAGTTTTCAACGGTATGTTTAGGTGATTGCGCCCCTCAGGCATCTTGTTTCACAGCTGTTATCTGTAACTTCTGATCCATAGGAGCTGCACACATTCCACGCCAACCTAAAGCCGCTTCCGTGAACGGCAGGCGATGCGTCTCGGAAATGCAGGGTACTGCTGTTACACGTCTTATGAGACGCTCCGGAGAGATCATGTGGTGCGCAAAACCACCTCACCGACGGTGATGAGCTGTGGTTGCGGATATCATGGGAGGAAAAGGAGTGGCCGTGAAGTTGGATCCAGCGTATGGAGAGATGTGAGTGATTACTACCACTGAGAATATTACCCAGACCGTACTCAATGCTTGCTGTCTAGATTTTTGCTCTATTGTTCGACACTTTTTCTGGACCTCTTCTTCCACCGCCGTCGCCCAAGAAAGGAAAAAGGGCAACGGTCTAGTGAAGAGTCAAACGTGGAACATCATCCGGAAGCTCCCTCGAGGTCTTCATGGGCAGGTGTCGACGTCAAATGTCGAACAGTCTGCAATGACGCAAAAAATCTTTCGAGACATTTCCAAGGACAAGCCTCAACTAGCTGCAAACCTTTTTTGAGGGGCGGCGTGGCCTCAGTCGACCTCGTGTAGTGGTCTTGTTCATCCCGTCCCACCTCGCACTATTCCCAGGTTCGAGGCACAGCTCTCAGTGATATGTGTTTCAAAATCTATCCGCAATCCTCCTCGCCACCATCCCCAGCCTTTCTCCTTCCTCTTACGGCATTTCTTCCGACATCCAGAGCCGAGCCTCCTCCCGGGAAGGCGGCATCTCCATCTCCATGTGAGACTTGCCCCCCCATCTTACCATTTCAAGCTCTAGACGGCCCCTGGGTCGTCACCGTTCGCGGTCGCCGTTGACGTTCGGGAACACCGAGGGGATACTATCGCGCCCGGTGAGCTGTGTGAACCGACCTTCCTTGATTTTGAGGTTAGGTGCGGAGGATGAGGAAGAGGAGGAAAGAGGGGCGTCTGTCGGGCTCGAGCTCACCGGCAGCCTGTTATAGGTGCCGGGCAAGTTCACTGATGATGTCAGATGCTGACTGACAGTACGCCGCCTGCGTCACAAGTTCGGCGGGTGAAAGCCTACCTGCACGATTCCTTGCCGGGCCGAAGCGGTCCACTCAGCAGCGAAGTCATGCCACCCACATATGTCTATGGACATCACAGTCACGAGCAACACTTTATGCATATCATGAGCCCACTTCACCAACACCACTATCTACTCCCGATCATGCCTTCACCGCCGAATGTAAGGTGGTGCCAGAACGGGATCTGCCTCAGGAGAATCAAGATCCTGTACGCTCGTATCTATGCAAGGCACCAAATACCACCCTCCTCCTCTTCAAAAATATATCTTCCCATTCTCGGCAGCTTCTGCGTCCTCATAACATCCCACACACGATGCTGTTCGCACTCGAGCGCTCAAAGCTCGAAAGCCAACCTCGCCTTTCTCTGCGGAGCCACCTCCGTTGTATAAGACTCCGGCAGCGAGTTATACACAGCATGCGCCGCCTCAACCTCCTTCAGCTCCTTCTTAAACACCTTCTTCACCTGCTCCATGAAGTTCTGGTCCTCCCTCCGCTTATACCCGCTATAATACGCAAACTCAGACGAACATATATCCTCCCGCACATGGAACAGCAACACCGTCGTCTCCAGCCCCAGGCGCACCGCCTCCGCCGGGGCGATCGGCGCACTCCGCTTCACGAGCTCGTGGTACCCCGCGAGGAGCCAGTCCGGCACCTTGTACTCTTTGGCTAGGACGACCTTGTCGACTGGGTGGATTGTTGTGTCCAAGGAGAGTTTGCCGATGGCGAGGTGCCGGATGTTGCGGAAGTTCCACATGGTGGCGAGCTTGAGGGCTGCGATCCAGTCTTTGCGGGGGAGAGCCATGTCGGTGCCGAGATGCGGGAGTTTCCTAGTGTGGGGAGGTTTATGATTGGTTTGAATGGATGGTGGCGATGTTAGGGGCGACTCACAGGGGATACATCACGCGCAGGAGACCTTTAAAGTCGTCTCTGGTGACGCCTTCGAGGACAAAGGGATGGGCATCGCTCGATCCTTCCTGTATTTGGTCCTGGCGGGGCGGGAGGGAAAACGTGGACGAGAATATGTCCGAGGCGTGGGCGAAGTAGTGGCGCGGCACGCTGAAGAGGTGGCCTTCGACCTGTGAGTTTGGGGGTCGGCATCATTCTATGGATGGGGGAGAAGTTGCTTTACCAGGAAGACTACATTCGCCATGTAATATTCATCGTCGCGGAGGAAAACGTTGGTTGACGTGTTAGCTGTTGTGCTGGTGGTCTCAGTGGACGATATCGATGTCATCCTTGTGCGCAGATCACTGATGCTTCAAGGTTGAAACGGGGATAACCGAAGGTCGCGACTCCTTAAGACTCAATAGTACGGCGACTAGGGGGAAAGAACTCGCCGGGCTTGAGCAAGGGGAGAGAATGACGACGTTCTGAGGTCAAGCAGCCTGCAGGACCGGTCACCTGGCAGTGAGCACTGGAATGGCGTAGCACGTGCTGCGTAAAACTGTTTTCAAAAAAAAGAAAACGCCTTCGTCGTACCAAGGCATGTAAACAATGAACGTTGAATAGAATGGTATAGTGGTCGTAACACAACATCTCGCCAACACAGCGACCTCAGGCTTCAGGCGCCTCCGAATACAAAACCTGCCCAAACTTCACAAACTCCCGAATCACCTTCTGTCCCCCCTCCTTCCCCACCACCCACTCCATAAAACCCATCGAAACCTCCCTGTTCTCCGGATCCGCCCTACTCCCCAGCAGGACACGCGCGGGATTGAGCAATGGATCCGCCGGCTTCAAGTCATGTCCCGCCATGAATATGTCAAGTGCGCCGGTGACGTTCGTAGGCGAGGAGAGCCAGGTGCCAAGGTCGGTGAGGGTGTATTCGGAGAGGAGGGAGGCGGCGGCGAGGGCTTGGAGGGGGAAGCGGGGGTATTGGTGGTACCACTTGGAGTATATGAGTGCCCAGGGGACCTGTGTTATACCGCATGTAAGTGGGATCCTGGTCCGCAGGCAGAATAGAAAAAGAAAAAGGTACCTGGCCGATGGTGATGAAGAGCTCTGACTCTTTGATGTTCGTGGCGCTTTTATCGAAACGGGAGAGGAAGCGGGTGGCAGGGCGTTTCGTGAGGTCAGGCGGAGCCTAATGAGGTTAGGGGTTAGTGAGTTACTACACTTGAAGAGATGATACGGGATATCTGACCGCGACATCGGCATTCCCGCTTTCAACGATCTTGTTGAACATCATCAAGATATCGTCCTTCTCCTTGTCCAGACCCGCCGGATTCGCTTTCGGTCCCACCAGCAGGAAATGGTCCTGCGTACGCGTCTATCTATCAGTGGCTTCCCATGCAATCCAGACATCGAAAACGTACGCGGAATCCATACACGCGCTGCACAGCTGCCCGGCTGTGCAGCGCCTGCATCTCAGCAGCCGCATTATACGTAACCGCGATATCCACCGAGCCAGCCGCGAGTAACCCCAGGCTCTCCGTCGTGTCTCCCAGGTACCACCCCACCTCCCCTCACCATCAGCATCGCAACTCCAAAGACCCGCAGACGAGGTGAATCTCACTTTAAACGGCTCCCTCCCAAGGATCTGCACGTTATACTGGATAAACGCGTCCGCCCACGCCCCGATGAGCCCCGACTGCCCTGCACCCCCATTCGCGATGCGCAGTTTGATCTCGGTGGCGGTGGGGTAGCCGCCGTCGTAGATGGCTTGTGGTTTGAGTGCTGCGTCTTTCGTGCCGACGCCGGTGCCCAAGTAGAGCCCGTCGGGGATTTTGGCCTCTGCGGCGTTGGGATCCGCTGCGGTGGTGGTGATGCTTGGGAGCGATAGGTGTTAGAGCCAGGGCAAGGAGGGGGGACTGGAAGTGACGGACCTTACCGAATGATTCGACATGGTTGCGTGCCTCGAATGCTTGTTTCAGTGTCAAATAAACTTTCTGATTCCACCTTAAGACGATGGTGGTGATTGAGGTGGAGCGGTGTGCGGGGTATAGGGTATTGGGAAGGTGTTATCGATATTGAGAAGGACCCTGTCGTTCGTTATCGATGGAATGGACTTCGATGGTTCGACTGTCACCGTTCCGTGGTCGAGAGCGTCTATTTCCGTGGTATCAGTCACGAGCTTTGATGTGGGAAGAGGAAACGGGTGTGTACCTTGCTATTCAATCGAAGTTATGTCTAGTCCAGGGCATCTGACAGATCGAGGCATGACAGGCGGCATTCAGTAGACGGCCCGCGGGTTGTATAGTACGGCGACCAAGTACATCGAGTTGCGGGGCTTAGAGTAGGTGAGGGTCGGAAAAGAGGTCGTCGCGGTGTAGAGGACCTTTAACGGGATTGACGACGCCTGAGCCCAGAGCACTGAGCAGAACTTACAATACTGTATCACGTGCGGGGGCAAAAACGCTCAGGCGGAGCGACTCGAAGTTCGAACTCCAGCAGACGC